CATGTGTCAGATCCCGATCTTCTGCTGGATTTCTGCAGTGTTATTCCAGGAAGTCTTTGGAGGAGACAAGAAAACTGAAATTCCTCAAACTCTTACAGAAATGATGGCACACTTTCTTTGTGTCCAAACAAAACACAGAAATAGAAAATATGACAAGGACGTTGAGACAAACAAAGAGAAGCTTCTGAAAACACAGAGGAAATTTCTTCTGAAACTCGGCAAGCTTGCATTTGAGCAGCTGCTGAAGAAAAATCTTATCTTCTATGAGGAAGACCTGGAGGCCTGTGGCATTGATGTTAAAGCAGCATCAATCGACTCTGGATTTTGCACCACAGTTCTTCGGGAAGAAAAAATAATTTTCCAGAAAAATGTCTTCTTCTTTGTGCATCTGACTGTGCAGGAGTTCTTTGCAGCTCTCTACATCTATGACTGTTTCATTAACAATGATACTAAAGATCTCAGCATCTTCTTTGATTTAAAGGGCAAGAAGCATACGTTAATTGAACTTCTTAAAATAACAGTAGACAAAGTGCTGCAGAAGAAAAATGGCCACCTGGACTTCTTCCTGAGATTCCTCCTTGGCCTCACGGTTGAACCCAATCACAGAGTCCTTCATGGTCTGCTGACTCCAACAGATCGAAGCCAAGATACTGACAAGAAAATCTTGACTCACATCAAATCTGTGCGAAGGAAGAACCTCTCTCCAGACAGCTGCATCAACCTTTTCCAGACTATGATCGAGATGAGAGATCACAAAGTCAAAGATGAGATTCAGGAATATCTCGCACTGTCAGATCATTCAAAAACAGAGTTGACTCCCCTGCACTGCTCTGCACTGGCCTACATGCTGCAGGCATCAAAGAATGATCTGGAAGTCTTGGACTTAAAGAGTTACAACACATCAGAGGAGGGCAGACGGAGGCTGATACCAGCAGTGAGGAGCAGCAAAAAGGCCTTGTAAGTTTTTTTCACTCTTGTTTGTGAGATAAACTCTTCACCCTTAAATAATCTCAGCGAACTGGACTATTAGCCAGAATGCAAAAGAGGAAGGAGAGGGGACAAGTCCTCTGTATTACAAATGGCAATCACATGGTTGGCCACTAAGTATCTTTAAACATGCCTTTTCTTTACATCTATTTGTTTCTAAAAAATTAATAAACACCCATCACCCTCCATAGACTAGCAGACTGTAAAGTAAGTGAAGAGTGGGTTGATCATCTGGTCGCTGCTCTCAAATACCCCTTCTCACCTCTACGAGATCTGGACCTGAGCAACAATGACCTGAAAGATTCAGGAGTGGAGCTGCTCTCTAAAGGACTGTCGAGTCAGTGCTGCAGACTGGAAACTCTGAGGTACATTACATGTTTATGTATCATAATATAAACATAGACAACCCATCCAACCTCCTACAAAGTGAAACAGATATCACCTGGCAGAAGTTATTTTAGCACAGGTCTTGTTCTTCATAACATCTGCCCTGTAAATACTCATTCCTGCAGTCATTTAGTCTTTCAGCGATGCAACAGATGTAGTCCTGCTGATGGATTTCTAAATCTTCTAAAAGCTGCATTTATATGTATCAAACTATTCTTTTCTCAGGTTATCTGGGTGTCTGGTGACAGAACAAGGCTGTGATTATTTGGTCAAAGCTCTGAAGTTAAACCCCTCACATCTGAAAGAGTTGGACCTGAGTTACAACCATCCAGGAGAATATGGAGAGAAGAAGCTGTCTGAGCTGAGGAATGATCCACAATACCGGCTCAGCCAAGTCATGTAATGTTTTCCTTTATCATCCACTGTTTGGAAAATGGTCCCCAGCTCAAAATGTTCTGTTAGTCTTCATCCCAAAATGCTTTCTATTTCCTGTTAACGATTGAGAATAAGTTTATTTCCCTCTTGTAGCCCTTGAACAAACTAAAAATAGTAATAATAATAATAATAATAATAATAATAACAGCTAGTTAACAAACAAACAGAACACATCACTATATTATTATTATTATTTGTATATGTACCATTTACAAGAAGATGCATCACAATGAGGAGAAGAAAATCTGATCTTAATCTAAAGTGTTTTAAACTTTAGTTTTTGCTTTTTCACCTCCTAAAGATTAGAGCACCGCCACCTTTTTACTGGAGTTTCATGCTGTGATACTCGTAGAGTGATACAGAGTAATTTTCTGTTTCCTAACAAGTCAAGTACCCTGGTTGTTACTCAAAAAAGTAACATACTTTTCTTAAACATAATGGAGTATTTTACTTAATCACCCACTGAAGAAGGTAATTTGTTACACCTCTTATTACATTTCTGCCAGACAAATCCCTACACTGTCTTTCTTTTAGTGAGTACAACACAAAGCAAAGCTTGGACTACAGTAAATTTAATATATCAACCTGTAAAGCCAAAATGCTGCAATCCTGAATAATCATCACCTCTGTTACCTGGTGAAGATCAGACTCCAGCATGCACTCAGCTTTATCATCACTCTGTTTTCTTGGCCAGCAAGAGACCAATATTGGATGTTGGGTGGTGAACAGAATAGATGCACATATTACTAATTAATAGTTCCATTTCTATTTCTTAAACTCAATTTCCTCCACAGTTTTGAACATGGTGGAAGTCACCGGATACACCCAGGATTGAAGAAATGTGAGTATCTACAGGAATCTGTTGAATGTTGCAATGCCTGAATTCTAAAGGCATTAAGATGCTACAGGACTTAATTACGACATGCTCATTTCAGGTTAATGTGGCAGAACTTTTGTTTTAAAGCAGCTTTCTGTGTTTCACCTGAGCTTCCAGCGAGGAGCCTCCCTCAGTCTCTACCACACACCACCACAAACAATCACCATCAGTTTACATAGTGTTTTCTGTGAGAAAGGATTTAGACTTATTAGATCTAATGTAAAAATACTGGATATTGAAGGACAGCAATAAAAAATTAAGAATCGTAGAAATACATTGTTTCTTTTTAAGATCAATTCCATGTACATGAACTTCATTGTAATGGATTTTAAACACTGCTGTCATGGTTCTGCCTTTAAGAGGAAAAATAAACATCAAGCATGTATTCAGAAATGTTATTTTGAGAAGAATGTTGACTTTTAACTCTTTTGATGGATTTTTTTTTAAATTACTGCCCAACAGCTCTGTACTTCATACTGCCAGTGGTGGACAAACGGTATACTATTAAAGTCTTTACTGACTATATAAGTGTTTTCTTACCTCCAGATGCCTGTGCGCTCACTTTGGACTCCAACACAGCTCACAAGAACCTGCTGCTTTCTGAAGACAAAAGGAAAGTGACCTGGGTGGAGGAGGAGCAGGCTTATCCTGATCATACAGAGAGGTTTGATTGCTGTCAGCAAGTGCTGTGTGAGCAGGGACTAAAAGAGCGCTGCTACCTGGAGATGGAGGTGTCAGAGCCCTTATGTGTTGGGTTAACATACAGAAGCATTGGCAGGAAAGGAAATGTGGATGACTGCAAGCTGGGACACAACAACAAGTCTTGGGGTCTGATTTCCTCTGATGATGGTTGTTTTGTTCAGCACAACAAAGAGAAGGTCTGTGTATCATCTCAGTGTTTGCGCTGCAGTCGGGTTGGGGTGTATCTGGATTGGGAAGCTGGCACTTTGTCCTTTTACAGAGTTTTTTCTGGTAGCCTCATTCACCTCCACACCTTCAAAACAACCTTCACTGATCCCCTCTACCCTGCTGTTGAACTTCACACCTGTTCCTCTGTATTGTTTTGTCAGCTACCGTAGAAAGAAGTTTCACTGTAGGTTAGAAAATGAATGCCTGCTAAACAACTTCAGGAAGGCTAGACATCAGTTGAAGCCTCAGCACTGTGGAGAAGGCTGTAGCTCAGGTGGTAGCGCAGGTTACCGAGTAATTAAAAGGATGGCGGTTCAATCTTAGTCTGCTTCAGCCTGCATGCCAACTATCCTGGGATAAGATACTAACTCCACCCTCTCCTACACTCTGCACCTGTTGGAGTGTGAATGTTAGGTAGAAAGAGCAGAGAAATAGTGCTTTTGTGAATGGGTAAATAAGACAAGTGCTTTGAGTGCTCCAATAGAGCAGAAATGTGCTGTATAGGAACCAGTTCATTATCTTTATCAAACAGACAAACACAAGGTCAAAAAAGTTGCCCTCTTGAAGTGATCAGTGGATCCTGCAGAGAGGATAAGACAAGAAAACATGTGCTCACTATTCTGTTAGTAACTTTGTTTTATAAACACAACCTTAAGTATGAATATGTATTTAAGGTTATTTTAGTGACACATACAGTTTTTTAAAGTGATGAAAAATGTTTTCAGGTTTTTTAAGAAGTGCGTGATTTCTTGACAGATTAAGTTAAATAAATAAAAATTTGGTTCATTTGAGGAAAATGAACATCCATAGATAATTTTCATTTCACTTTTATTTTACACCCTCAACTGCTTGATTGCAAAATAGCTACACTTTTAGCCAACACATCTATATGGATACTGTCAATACTGTCATAAAATGTCAAAAATAAGCTCTCCTGACTCTGGAATAGTTGTGGGGAAAGGGCGTGGAGCTCCTGTCTTCACTAAGTGGCCTAACAGTTTTTATGCTACATATAAAATATTATATGTAATGTGAGTTATTTATATGACTCATCATAATGAAACATGAGTTCTAAAACCACATATTTGTCACACAGGACTGGGGAAATGATGTTAGCATTGAGTTTGACAGTGTGGTAAACAACAGAATAGTAGCCGAACAGCCAGGAAGCAGGCAGGTGGTTGATAGCAGATCTTCTTTCTTGTACTTACACATAAGCCACATTGTTAATTTGCTAGTTTACCTGCAGTTTACCACAGCCCAGGTTAAGTCTACACACTGGCTGTTACCTGTTGGTGTAGATCTCATTTTAAACACATTGTCTTTTGAATGAATGCGTTTGTATTACATGCTTTCTTTAGCAGACCAACATGCTTACAGTATCAGTGCTAAAAAGTGTTTTACATGAAGTGTATATTTATTTACAGCTAATGGGAGTGTTGTTAGTTTGAAATATAACCACCCTGAGGGAAAAAGTGTTTGTCTCTTGGCTTCCAGCTCACAATATTTTATATCAAAATTATACTCAAAGTTTTGAAACAAGTGTGTTGTAGGAAAAAATGATTCCTTACATTAAAGTTTTGAGATACATTAACGAGGTAAATATGGTCGAGGTCTCACTACTTTAAAAGCATTATGTCAGTGTTGATTTGATAGCTTAAGCTGCTCTCTCGGGATGAAGTCAAAGTGGAGCAAGCAGCAAAGTTGCACTAGTACATAAGGAATTAACATTCCTTATGTACTAGTCTTTATGTACTTAAGATAAGGGTTTATCTTAAGTATTAGTCTGGTTCTTTTATGTCGATTTGAATGTAAAGTATATAATAAAGCAGAGAATAAAAGATACCTTAGCAGTGTGTGTGTGTGTTTCTTTTTTGATTGGCAGCAAGTTTGTTCCCCTCCCTCTGATGTCAGACTGATGAAAAACTGCTTTTAATATTTTCTATATGTACATTTAGTTTTAAATGTGCTTTTAAAAAAATAGACTGGAATATTAAAGTAATCTGTACCATAAAGTGCTGCTGTTCTGTTAACTTTTGCAATATCTTTTCAGCACCTCAGGTTTCTTCAAGAGGCTGTGACCTACCTGGTTAAATGCGGATTTGACTGGCACACAGTGGTACAGGTTGGTATCACATAAATCACTAATGTCTGTTTATTTAAAAACAACAAAAAAAAACAAAGAAACAGCTACAGTCAGGTAGCAGCTGTTTAGCAGATAAAGTAGTACCCAGGAGTAAGGGAGGTACACTCAAAGCAACTGTATTAACTGTGTTTTGATGAAATTTGGAAAATTTAAAGCTCTGAAAACACAGGAATTTATCTAAATATGTTCAAACAATATTTAGGTGTATTTGTTCAAATATACACATCATTACAATGCACTACGTCTTAATCCTAAAATATTTTTGATGTTCTCACCAGAATTCAGTTCATTTCATTTATCATATGAGAAAGATATTCCTTAGCAGTAGTATTGCTTTAAAAAAAACCCTCTTAGGTTTTTTTTTAAAATAAATGACATCATGTCTCCAGTCAAAAAATAAATATAAAATAAATGGGTACCTTCAGATGCTCACTTATTTCTAATGGTCACTGTATTTGTACAGATTCGACACAGGATGCTCCTAAACTGTGAAATTCTAAACCGGCCGGCACAGCTAGAATTCATACAAATACATAATATACACAATCTGGCAGGCGGCAGTGGTGTAGATCGTCTACTGACAGACTATTCACATTGTTCTCAGTGTCATGTTCTGTCCCTTTTCTACAAGCCTCATTCACTGTGTGATCAAAGAGCAGCATAACTGTGTTTTGCTCCCATGCTACTTAAACATAACACCACCAGTTAACTGCCAAACACATCCTGGTTTGTTTCCTGTGGGAATTGTTTTCTATTGAAATTCCCTTCTTTACTTGCTTTTTACTTTCACTTAAACCCACTAGGTTTACCATAAACTTTATTGTCCTTTTAAGATAAGATAAGATAAGATAACCTTTATTAGTCCCACACGTGGGAAATTTGTTTTGTCACAGCAGGAAGTGGACAGTGCAAAAGTTATGAGGCAAAAATTAGAATACAATAAGAATAAATACAGTACACAACTGTACAAAATAG